AGGAGTACTGCAGCTAGTTGCAGGCCAGCATGGGATACAGAGCGAGACCCTATAAAAAACAAAACAAAACACAAAATAGAGCATAGCGGCACACAACTTTAATTCCAGCCCTTGGAGAGGTATAGGCTGGTGATTGTTGAGGCTAGCCTGGTCTACAGAGAAAGTTCCAGGACAGCCAGGGCTACACTGAGAAACTGTGTCTGGAAACAAATAAACAAACCAAAAGCCATCACCACCACCACCAAGAACCAAAGGAAACAGAAAGAAAAAAGAGAAAAAGAAAACAGTGGAGCCAGACAAAATGGTTCAGGGGTTTACTGCTAAGCATGACATCAGGAGTTCCATCTCCAGTGTGCAAACTGTGGAACAAGAGAACTCATGCCAGTAAGGTGACCTCTGACCTCCACCTGTTGTGGCACAAACGACGCCTCCACAATCATACAGAAATATATATTCTTTTAAAATTAAAAATCATACAGGGCAAAGCTGTACAGACACCCAGGTTTCTCCTTGGGGATTCAGGGCTCCTGGACCTCACTGTGATGACTCTGACCTTGCTTTGGACCAGTTAGCCAGCACCATATCCCTTCATAGGGGTGGAGTCCAGTTAGAGCTGACTCGGTGACACAGCCTGTCTTCCCAGCTACTCCAGCCGGCTGGAGTGTGCCACGTTTCTGGCCGGTCTGAGGTACACAGAGCTCAAGTGTATCCTGGGCAATTCTACTACTGGTTCTAGATAGAGAAATGAATTGGGCCTGGTGGCTGAGTCTGTAACCCAGGCGCTCCGGGGGCTGAGACAATCAATCACACGAAGATGGTGAGGCCAACTAACTAAGGCCAGCTTGGGCAACGCAGTGAAACCCTGGCTCAAACGAAATCTAACAACAAACAAGAGGCGTGAGCCTGTAGTAGACAGACAACCTCGCATGCAAAACGTTACCTCCAGTCTCCAACTCTAAAAGAAACAGAAGCCGACGGCATCTTAGGATGAAGGAGGCTGAAGCAGGAGGATCACATCTAGTTCTGCAGCAGCCCTGGCTACTGAATGAGACCCTGTCCGGTAAGGAAATAAAGAATTCCTTCAAACTCTGACTCTGCTGGCAAACGGGGCCAAGCCAGCTGGTCACATGCTGGATCACACACTTGAGAAATTAGTCATTGTATGGGCGGGCGGGGTCACCAATGTGGTCCTACCCAGCTGTGCCTCTTGCCAGTGTTCTTATATACTTCCACTACCATGCCCGTGTCTCAGCGCACCTGTGGCTTTGCAGAGGGAAAGTCACTGAGGTGCCTGCTAGGACTCCTATCCACCCTCATCCTGGAGGCCCGGCATTGTTCTGCACAGAGCCAGGGCCAGGGGAAGACTCCAGGGGGGAGCACTTGAGTCAAGCCTCAGAGCAAAGAGAATGTCAGGGAAGAAGCTGGCTGTGGTGTGAAGCCCCCGGTGTGAAGGAAGTAGAATGTCCGCAGGTTCCCTTCCCCAACTCTTGGCAGGCAGTAGTGGGCCAGGGGAACAGTGGGAGGTCAGACCAGAACTGTAGAGAAGAGCTCACTAGAATGCTGTTGGGGAAGTGCGCCCCTGAGACAGGGACATGGAGCACACAGCTAACTGGATGGCCTCTGCCTTGTTCCTTGTTACCTACGTAATTGAACTTTGTCTGCACAGCTCTGTGCCCCTGACAGTGTTTCGCTCTTTAATCCAGTCTCAGGACAATCCTTTTGCTTCACCCTGAGTTTTGGGTGACAGCAGTGAGCCACTTCCACAGCAATAAACTTTCATTCAGACTCAAAAAAGGCAAGTTCCTGCTGTGCTATAGGTGGGTCCCCGCTCTTGTCCGCTTGCCCACTCCACACACATAGGTGTCCCCAGGACACACCAAGATCTGGGCCAAGCCTGGGGGCTTCTACCTGGGCTCCTTGATGAAGAACGAGGCTCCGGTAGATGAAGGAGCCTGGGGAGCCCCGGCCCCCGGGGCCCGATGTTTACCTGGCCACCTCCCCCTGGCTCTGATGCAACCCACAGGCTCTGGTTACGTGAGGGCGGGCGGCAGCTGCAGCAGGGGCCCTGCTCTAGGAGGGGGTAGGGGGAGAATGGGACTGGACGGGACAGGACAAGGACGCCCGATGACACTGACCTTACCTGGCCCACACAAAGCCACTCCCCCACACCCACAGAGGCTCCTGCTGCCTGGACCCTCTTGATTCCATCTTTTTAATATCCCTGGAGGAACAGTCAAGTCACCACCTCTGGCTATTGAGGGGAGTGTGAGTCCAGCACTTGCTGGAATGAGGCACGAGGAGCTGACAGCAAGGGCTCTTTGTTTACTGGGCTTTTGTTCTGATTTTTTTTTTTTTTTTTTTTTTTTGGTCAGAGCCTCCTGTAAGACCTCAAACTACTTGTGTAATAATAGCCCTGAGCCTGGGGTGATAACTGAAGCCTTTAATCCCAGTATGAAGAAGAAGGCAGGTGGATCTCTGAATTTCAGGCCAGCCTGGTCTAGAGTTCCAGGACAGCTAGGGCTACACAGAGAAACCTTGTCAAACAACAAAACCCAAACAAACAAAAAAGGAATAGCTCTGAACTTCTGTTCCTTCTGCCTCTACCTGCCATGCACTGGGATAACAGGTGTGTGTCAGCTTGCCTGGCTGTTTGAGACAGGATCTCACTCTGCCTGTCGGCTTGACTTCCACCTAGCAGCAGAGCTGTGACGGGCGTGAACCAGTACATGCGCAGAAAAGCTGAAGGCTTTCTGGGCACCTCTCCTGGGTTAGAAACCCCTTCCCCTTTGCAGGCCTTGCTTGTGTGATCGCTGGCTGGCATTTCACTTCTCTGAGCCTCTGTGAGTGGAAAAGGTAGAGACAAAAGCCACAGGTTCTGTGGGGACCACTCCTAGTGTCCTTCACTTTCTGAGAATCTCCATCCTACACTTCACCCTCCCCAGCACTGCGGTGTGTACATCAAACTCGATGTCCTCCACTCTGCCTCGGGGTCAGGCCTAACGAGCCTTGGATCTCTTCAAGACTCGCAGACCCCACAGAATGAAGTGGAGGCAGAGCTGTCTGGGGCACACACAGGTCTGTTCCTAGTTTGAGAGGGTTTCCAGGTGGTTAAGGGCAGAGAAAGCAGGAAATAAAAGACGGGCTTGGGCTAGGTAGGGAAGCAGATAGAGCAGAGAGGCTGCAGAGGTGAAGCAGACATCCTGTTTTTGTAGAGTTCCATTCTCAGCACCCACAGATGGCAGCTCACAACTCCAGCTCCAGGGGATCCAGCACCCTCTTCTGGCCTCGGTGGACACCTGCACGCCCACACACAACTAAAAATACAGTCAATCTTTTTAAAATGAAAAATTCTTATTTGCACTTTAGAGTTGACATATTTTTCAAAAGCTGGGAACAGTGGGCCTGGTGACGCTGGCTGTGACCCCAGAAGTAACGTAGCTGAGGCAGAGAATTCATAACCCACCTACATAGGCAGAACCTGTCTAAAAGGAAATAACCGAAGGCTTATAAGATGGCTCAGGGGTTAGGATGCTATCTGCCAAGCCAATGACCCCGAGTTTGATCTATGGTTTAAGGACTCCCCAAATTGTCCTCTGACACAGATCTGGAGGAGCCTATGCTTCCTTCAGGTCAGACCCCTTTCCAGTTACCCTAGTCAGTGGGTGGGGGCCAGGTCCCTGCTTGGATGCCCCATGGCACAGAAAGGTCACCACCTGGCTGGTTACAGAATTAGGTGGGAAGGAAGGCTGAGTCCTGGTTGGGACCTTGTTGATTGACTCAGTCACTCAGTTCCTCCCTGAACGACCAGGAGCCTCTGGCTGGTGTGTAAGTAGGCAGGACTGTGCATCAGAGCAATGCTCTGTTCTTGTGGGGGAAATACAAATACAATGTAAATTAGCCATGGCCCTGGGAGGCCTGCACAACAGACGCTGAGGTGGAGGCGACTGTTCCCACACCTCTGAAAGGTGCCAGCTGAGACTGTTCCTGAATGTCCAGAGCACCCCGTTGCTTCAGTGGCACTTTTCACATTTATTAATTATTCATATGTATGTATCTATGGACGTATATTTGTGTGGACGCTTGGCTTTTGTAATGTGGGGCTGGTGGTCAGACTCTAGACCCCAGACTTGTGAGGCATTTGCTGGCTAAGCCATCACTCCAGGTCCTAGCACGTGTAACTGGCACAGGGCTTCTGTCTAGCACACAGCTGGGTTTGGTGAACAATTCCTGCACATGGGCTCAGCCGAGGTCTTTTTATTTTTTGGGGGGTGTGTGCAAACTTTATTGATGGTATTCAAGTTCGTAGGGAGGGCTCCCTGGGCCCCTCCTGTTGTTATGGGGGTCTGGGAGGGAAACTGTGAGGGAGATGCTCAGTGTTGGGACAGGGATACCTCAGCAACCGAGGGCCTCTCTCTTACTCTCAGTGTCCTTGCTGGGGCGGGTGGTCAGGGTTTCTTACTGCTTGGAGGCCATGCCGTCCGCCCCCACTCCAGCTGAGGTCTGAGCAGAATCCATACTGCTCTCCTCCAGTAAGCTCCAACGACTTTGGCAACATTCTGGAGTTTGTGGTGTGTGTGTGTGTTATTCTGGGGACACAAACTAGGACCCAGTGTAGGTCAGGCAAGCACCCTGCCCCACCATGGTCTACGAGATGGAAGCTAGTGACCAAGCCAGGGTCTGGCCCTGAACAGAGGTGGTGTTCTTCCAGCGGCTCCTGTGTGTTTACCTCACACGCAGAGAAGGGAAGTACCTGGCATTGTGTCACACATGGCAGGGGCAGGACTGCAGCCGTGTGACATAAGTAGGTTATGTGACCCCAGCATGGAAGGAGACAACTTCTGCACATTCAGTGTATTCAGTGCACAGACTGTCATGTGAGTGCTACTGGAACAATGTTCCTAATTTATGACCAAGGTGGCCAATCATGGCTGAACCAGTAGACAGCAGGCACTTCCTAGGTCTGAACCAGTAGACA